CGGGCTCCAATTCCTTTCCCTTCTACCCCTGTTTTTGTGATCAAACCAACACGACCATACCAGCAAGATGTAAAGTTTACTGACCTTGTGAGCATGTTCTATTTCTTGTCACAGGGTGTGTACAAGCACATTGCGGCGTGTTATTTTTGTCAGCAGTGAAACAAATGGTTCCATTTAAGCAAGGAGAGGAGAGACACTAAACAATAAAATCAAATAATAAAAGTCAAGGAAAAAGGTTAAGTCTGTGTTCGAGACCAGTGGCCCATCAGGCCGGTGCTTATCTCTATCGGTATCACGAAGAGACCAGGAGTATTTCTGCTTTTTTGTATTTCTGGATAAGATGCTAGACCATCGCAGGGTTATCCCCCAGCATTAAATTCGCCAGTAACACCTTGGTGGAGAGAGCCATTGTGAGAGTAAGGTGTCTTCCCCAAGAATACGTAATGAGCCCGACCAGGGGCCCGTTTCTCGAAGGTCTCCAAAATTTTTCGCACCCGAAAAGCCGTAGCAAAATCTCAAACCTTATGATTATAGAACTGTTTTATTCACATATTCTTAATATGAAGAGAGGTTATCTTCATACAAANCTCTTAGGTCTGGCTTATTTTGAACCAATCTCTTGCCTTTCTTGCCCTGAAGCTCCATCCCTTCCTCAGTTTCACGGTCTGGTTCCCAACGCCATACCTCAGAACTTGGCAGGAATGACGAAAGGACGAATCTTGATCTCCGAGATTGTACGAGTTGCACATTCCATCCAGAATGCACAGCATTTGACATTCTTGATCAGTTGAAACTGACTGACTTGAAGCAATGAATCCTTCAAGGATACGATCTTTAATTGTTTGGGAAAAGACGACTTGTTCTAGTCGCTCACCTGACTGACAATATCCATCTAGAGAAAATAATAAAAAAAAAAACAAGTTAAGGTTGAGGAATGATTACGGTGTTGGAGAAAATGTAGAAACAGAAACAAGGCTTTATAATCGAAGACTCCATGTCAACTCTTCCGAATT